ACGTGATTGAGAATCTGTGGCACAAAACGCAAGACGTTTTGGTGATCGCAGAACACGGCAGTCGCGCCGGCTTTGCCGCTGTTCTCGAAGCCAGGAATCTTATATTGCAATTGTCTGGACATAAAGTGACCGCTCATTTCAGTCATAATCCCGGCGATAAGCAATTGTCCACTGATCACAACGCCTCTGAGGCCACTATTATTGCACCCGTAAGCGAAGCCATACATCATTTACTATATGTACTTTTAATTGCAGGACTTTTGATTCCAGTGCTTTCATAACATCACAGTACATATACACGCATTATATGCTATGCGTGTATATATACTATAAGTACAATATATCCTATAATCAAAAGTCCTATAATTAAAAGTCCTGAAGTTATATGATTTACATTAACAATCAAATTAATTGTAATTATGAAATAAGTGTTCGCATGACTTGACGTGTCCGCGACAGTCAACCAAAGGACCCGTTCTCTGCAATTTCGAAATCACTTATAATCCGTTGCGTTTCGGACAAAAGGTTTCATTTGTTGTGTTATATATTGTATATCTGTATAAAAATATTTAACATTTATATCGTTTTGTATTATATTCACGGCTAAAGAGTATAACGACAGGAAAAGAGAGATATTCTTATGTAGTATTACGAAAGGGAAGGCAACAACAACCTGGTAATTATTGCCTTACTTTTCATGTCATCAAACTTTAAGAACTATTTATCCGTATAAAGAAATGAAGAGTTGGCCCCGAATTGTTCAGCCCGTCCTCACCGGTCATCATAAGGCTATTTGTCGGATGTGTTGCAGTGATGGACAAATCAAAGAACTTATAATTACCAAATCTAATCACGACAAGTATTGTTATACTTTTTCATTATTATACCGTATTATTACTTCAATTGATTGTTTATATTGACTGAAGGCATGCCTACCAGTGCGCTAAGACGAGCCGATGGGGCGACAAATTTCCCGCACAAATACACCCTAAAGATGCCGATCAAGACATTCATGAATAAGTTGTAATTTTAATAAACATCAATAAATGATTTTATACGTTATAAATTTATTTTTAATTAATTGCATCGCTGTGTGTGGAGTTGTTTATTAACAGTGATATAGATTAAATGTTTCTATTATACCAGTAGTACTGTACACTTTCTTTCACAACGCGAATGCTTCATAACGCGAATGGCTGGGTCAGTACAGTACAATTGCGTACAAATGATTGTAGACTTAAAGCGTAGAAATAGTTTGGAAAGTGTCAACACACCATTCGCGTTATGAAGCATTCGCGTTGTGAAAGAAAGTGTATATTAAAACTTGATTACCGGTACAAGTTATGATGTATTGAATGGATGCGGCATCACATGCATCTGTTAAGGAGCGCAGAGATCACCGTTGGATCTGTTGGAACCGAAACCATATCCTAATCATCGGTTCCCAGAAAAGGATTCAGCGTTTAATTACTTAAACTATAAATTTTATTTACCGGTAATCGCTATTTTTATTGCTTTTTTTGTGTTTAATTACTTTTAGGGCTTAAAAAACCATTATTTGTGACACTTTTTATAGCTCTTATTTTGTTTCAATTGATTTTCTTAATTTCTAATACTTTTGATTACTTTTAGCGTAAGTCATGCAAAGAGAGCCCGGATTTGGAGCCCAAGAAGTGTGTAAAACACTGGATATAGCGAGAGATCGGAGGGATTTGAGGGACAGAGTGGTAGCGATAGTCGTGGCCGACAGTCACGGCTCTCTTTGGATGACTTTTCGCTAAACATTTCACTATTTTTTGTACTTTTATAACAAATTCGCAAATATCTCATAAAAAAAGTTCATTTCAATCCAAAAACCAGTGTTTTATTGTGTGAAAGCGAAGAGTGATTGCCATTCCTACCATCTGCAGCTATACACACCCCCAACATCACCATCAGCTGATCCGCTGCACCCCCAGACCCTAACACATCAGTGATGCTTAAAGTATTGAAAAATATTTACTTTTGTATATGGTCAAATATTTGCTAAAATTTTATTGAAATTACTAAAAATAATTGAATATTAACTTGTTTTTAGTAATTTGAGTAAATTTATAAAATATTGAGTCACTTAAGTTATTGGAAGTTAAGTTGCGCTATAAGTTGTGTAATAAATATGCTATATTTGTCAGACGCGAGACAACCCATAGAAACACGAATATTAATAGTAAACAACTTGTGTTGTGTTGTGTTGTCTGTCAGTTAGTGTTTGGCAACAACTCATCGAAAGTGCACTTAATTTATAATCAAATTAATTTCAATTTAGTTAATCATTCAATACATTCACCGATGGATTCGCGAGACATTGAACGACATCTCAAGATATATACTCTTAACTGTTGGTAAGATTGTCTTCATTTGACCATCAAATCAATGTTTGCTATCATTTCGAAATGAATTGAACTTTAATTTTAAAATTAAATCTAAATTATTATAAAATACAGATCAGACTATAAATGATTAAATGTTATATATTTGGACACAATTAGTGCTAATTGTTATGACCATAATTATGGCTATTTTGTTGGTCTCTCGTAACCACCGATGATTAACCAATGGATCAATTGGTTGCCAACAATTGTTTACAATAATAATCAAAAGTTTGCCTTAATTTAGTATCAAATATCAAATATGATATGTGTATAGAAATGGGTGTTTTAATACAAGCATTGAATTGATTGCCACTATATTTACGTTAACAACAGGTGTTATCATCA